GGAGTCCTACTCCCACCGGGAGTAGGACTCCCCCCTCTTGCCTTGGTGGAGAAGGAAAGGGGGTAGGGGAAAGAGGAAAGGGGGGCGCCCCCCCCCCCTTCCTTGTCCTATTCGGACTAGGGGGGCACGCGGCCTGCCCTGGCCGGCCCTCCTCTTCTCCCTCATGGCCCACTAAGGCCCATTAACCCCCGGGAGGGTTCCGGTAACCCCCCGGTGTTCTGGTAAAATCCCAATTTCACCCGGAACACTTCCGATGTCCAAACATAGGCTTCCAATATATCAATCTTTATGTCTCGACCATTTTGAGACTCCTCGTCATGTTCGTGATCACATCCAGGACTCCGAACAAACTTCGGTACATCAAAACTTATAAACTCATAATAAAACTGTCATCGTAACGTTAAGCGTGCGGACCCTACGGGTTCAAGAACTATGTATACATGACCTAGAACTATTCTCGGTCAATAACCAATAGCGGAACCTGGATGCCCATATTGGCTCCTACATATTCTACGAAGACCTTTATCGGTCAAACCGCATAACAACATACGTTGTTCCCTTTGTCATCGGTATGTTACTTGCCCGAGATTCGATCGTCGATATCCAATACCTAGTTCAATCTCGTTACCGACAAGTCTCTTTACTCGTTATGTAATGCATCATTCCGTAACTAACTCATTTAGTTACATTGCTTGCAAGGCTTATAGTGATGTGCATTACCCGAGAGGGCCCAGAGATACCTCTCCGACAATCGGAGTGACAAAACCTAATCTCGAAATACGCCAACCCAACATGTACCTTTGGAGACACCTGTAGTGCTCCTTTATAATCACCCAGTTACGTTGTGACATTTGGTAGCACACAAAGTGTTCCTTCGGTAAACGGGAGTTGCATAATCTCATAGTTACAAGAACATGTATAAGTCATGAAGAAAGCAATAGCAACATACTAAACAATCAAGTGCTAGGCTAACGGAATGGGTCATGTCAATCACATCATTCTCCTAATGATGTGATCCCATTAATCAAATGACAACTCATGTCTATGGTTAGGAAACTTAACCATCTTTGATTAACGAGCTAGTCAAGTAGAGGCATACTAGTGACACTATGTTTGTTTATGTATTCACACATGTATTATGTTTCCGTTAATACAATTCTAGCATGAATAATAAACATTTATCATGAAATAAGGAAATAAATAATAATTTTATTATTGCCTCTAGGGCATATTTCCTTCAGCAAGCACTACAAAAAAAGCACTTCTGTGATGATACGTGTTTATCACAGTAGGTCATGTTTTATATCATGCATGTACATCCATGACGATTTTATGATAGAATCAAGATAGTCATACCTGTGCTGTCATACAAGTGTTCCATGACAAAACTCCAATTATCATCACAAAGATCTCCACTTCCATGACGATAAATGGCGTGTCATGGAAGTGCTTTCGTCAAGGGTAACCGACACGTGACATCCACCGTAATGGGGCACCGTTAAGCTATCGGGTTCGGTTTTGGATCCGATAACACGTTAACAGCCATGACCAATGGCGATTTTCCATGTGTAAATTTGTCATTGGCCGAAGTAACCACGTGTCAGCTCCACTTTGGTACAGATGTCAACCGTCCAATGGACAGGAGGCATGATTCGAAGACACATGGCACGGCCCAACGGTGGACCATTTAGGCTAAAAAGGTCAGATGTTTGACTTGGTTAAAAGTTAATAAGTTGTCCCATCAAAATCCTGTTAACGGCCTATGCGCGTATAGCCCATTTACGGCCCGTTATGGCCTTTTCGAATTCGGCCCATTAGCATCTTGTGGGCAGTCCAATATAATTCGAGCCCGTTGTCACTTTTGGTCCATGTATGACCCATGACGTCTTTCGGCCCATATGAGGCCTTCTGTTTCTTTAGGCCCTTTAACGGCCCGTGGTGACTCTGGCCCATAATAAACAGTAATTTGCTTTTATACCCATTAACGGCCCATGATTCAGTTGGGCCGATTTCAGCCCATGTTATCTTTCGGTCTTCTAAGGCCCATATATTCTCGGGCTCATTTCCGACCTTCAGTTACTTGCGGACCGTTACTGGCATGTTCCGCTAATATGCCAAACTCGGGTAGTGGTTACAGTCGGCCTGTTTGTGGCCCGTTAACCCTTTGGGCCTTATTCATCCTATCATGTATTACGGGCCCATTAATGACCCGTTAAGCCTGCTCTGCTGTACGGCCTATTAACGGCCCATTATGGCCCGAGCCCATAAACAAAAAGTTCAAATTCTAGCCCGTTTACGGCCCAAATCGCGTTCAAACACTGGTCCATGATCAATATGGCCCATGAATCCTGCGGCCTGTAAGAGGCCCTTCCGCCCATGGATCCTGCGGCCTGTAAGAGGCCCATGGATCCTACGGCCCGTAAGAGGCCCATGGATCCTACGGGCCGTAAGAGGCATATGGATCCTAAGGCCCGTAAGAGGCCCAAGGATCCTAAGGCCCCTAGGAGGCCCATGGACCCTACAGCCCGTAGGAGGACAATGGATCCTAGGACCCGAAGAAGGACCATGGATCCTACGACACGTAGGAGGACCATGGTTACAATGACACATATGTGGACCATTGTTATTGCGGTCACCAGGAAACCGAGGAAAAAGAACTGCAGAACTACAAGCAAACAAGTAAATAAGAAAATAAATAAGCAAGCAACTAACTCTGGAATATTACGACGATTACACAGATTACATCCACTAGGCATCAAAGTTCGCCACCAGTGCAAATATAGTAAACAAAGCAGCATATTACATACACTGGTTGTCAAAGTTGGCGACCAGTGCAAATAAACGCCGCAGCAAAACAAGTCCAGAACTGAAACCACATCAGAAGAGCTCATAAAACAATATCCTGGGTACCCAACATGCTGGCAAGAAGCTTAGCAACTTTGTTAGTTTTCTCTTGTTTGGCGCTTAAATCCTCAAGCGCTTGCTGTTGCACCAGAAAGTATGCATCTGAATTCTGTAGAGACTTCCTCGTTTCTTCGGATTCGTGTCACAGCACATCTGATCGATGTCTTTCAACTTGAAGTTGAGACTCAAGAAGCCGAATTGATTCAGGCAGCGAGTTCGAAGAGCTTGTGCCAGCAGCAGTGGTCAGTAACTCGAACACTACATTAAGACATGACTTTGGGGTTGTCACACTGTCTTCAAGATATTTTTATCCGCTTTCTTGGAGACCAACAAGGATGTCTCATTATTTTGAACCTTATCAGCATTACTTCCTTTAAGAATTGCAGAAATTATATATAGCTAATAAAAACAGGAGTCCTTAATAAGCATAGTGCAAAGATACAAGCATCAAACTAACATGCAGCCACACACTTATTGTGTAATCATCAAGACAATCTATGACTTAACATGGAAAAGCTACAGACAGAAAAAAGCTAAGCTTTAGTATTCCACTACACAAAGCAAAAGCTACAACGGCCTATCTAGCCATAGCCATACAGTTTCTCCGCCTTGATTGTTTCTTTGCAATACACAAGCAATTCGTATATGATTAGTTGGCGCCCATGGCCATGGCAGAACAGTGTTGTTTGTTGGTACTACTCCATCTCCCTCCCTCTCTCTATCTCCAACCCTTTCTCTCTCTAGGTGGGGGCACGGCATGCATGTCGCTAGCGCAAAGCGTATGCAGTGGAAGCTTGGCTTGGCGCCATCTAAGCTAGCCTCTTCTTCTCTCTGATCTAGTATCTCTCTACTTGGGTTTGTTTGGTACATGGTACATACATGTGCGTTAGTTCAATCATTATGAAATTTGTTTATTCAATTTTTTATGAGATTTAAGATAGTACATCTGATCTCATATTTGTTTTGTCTTTTACTTGACTATGGGGAGAAATACTGACATGTATCTCTTCTCCTATAGGAAAAATACCGCTTTTTTTTAAATATGAAGGATATGACTATGAATCAATCCAGCATATAGTAATCTATTTCTACAAACCAAATGGATATAGCAAAAAATTTCCTATAGGAATCCTATCATATAGAATTCCTACAAAATTACTATGAACAAAAGATGACCGAGTTGCATGCACTAGAGGCGGAGTTGCATGCATGGAGCAAGGTATGGCGCTGGCAGCTCAACATTGTGATGTTCCTATTCTGGTCCAGTCAGACTCCTCGGAGGCATTGATGGCCCTAACCGGTGACAACTTGTCCTGCAAAAAGAAAAAGATTAAGCACGAGAAAATAGAGTAGCAGATCAGTTGGCTTTGTATAGTCATACCGAGAGTATGGCTAGATCATGGACCACCGTGTATGGAGGAACTCTTGCCTCTCGACTGTAACCCTATTCATATGGAATAAAGCTCGAGGTAAAAAAAATGACCGAGTCATAGGGTAACTGTTTCGATATACTGTCACTGATTTTCTTGCTGGCATATGCTACTGCATGCTGGGTGACATAAATTTTCGTCTTTGGTCAATTAAAGTATTGCAGGGGATATTTGGTTCCCATACTTCCACGGGAATAATAAGGGAAGGAGAGAATTCAAGCTTCCAAGTCCCAAGGTTTATTTATGAATGAATCACCATTGACTGACTACAGACATCCTAGCATGCAGCACCAGAATGAGTAGTATCCACACTCCTCTTCTTCCCCTTCCAAACCTTTTGCTTTTGTTCATACGCACCACCAAAACTTTTCCCCTCTCTCTATGCTGTCAGCCAGGTGATCCTCATCCCCCTCCCTCCCCCCGTCCCTCTCTCTCTCTAGTGAACTTCCCTTTCGTCCTCTACAGCCTCATTTACACCTTTAGGGCTACTACACGCACACACAACACCTTTATCTCCGTCTCTCTCATCTCTCCCTCTCTTCTTCTTCTCCTCTTGGTGATCCATACCGAAGCCTCTCTCTCTCTCTATTTATATTAGCTGCCATTTCTCATCCACACCGTGTCTCTCCTATCTCCAGCTCCACTGTACCACCAGTCGATCCATCCATGGGGGATCCCTACACCAATTTCTTGAGGGGCTACAGCTTCCGCTACTCCAACGCAGCGGCTTCTTCCTCCTCCCCCTTCCCCAGCTACACCTCCAACCTCCACCACCCACCTCCCTCCTCCCCTCCGATCAGGGAAGCCCTCCCCCTCCTCAGCCTCACGCCCTCCTCCTCAACCTGCCACAACCCCCATCAACACCACGATCAAGAAGATCGCAAGGTCATAACCACCGCCTCCTGCAGCAGCCAGGCAGAAGCTGCCGATCAGGCAGCCGGGGAGGTCACCGTTGCCCTGCACATCGGCCTGCCCAGCCCCAGCCCCTCTGATGCAGCAGCCGGCAGCGGCGACCACCACCAAGAAGCAGCAGCGGCGGGAGGAGTGGCTGCTGAGGAGAGAAGCCAGCAGCAGCAGGAAGAAGGGCAGGAGGAAGGCGAAGGAGAGGAGGAGGATGGCAGCACGATGGCGCTCGGGGTGGGGTGCGCCTCCCTGGGGATAGGGAGGCTCACAAAGGGGCAGTACTGGATCCCCACCCCATCCCAGATCCTCATTGGTCCCACGCAGTTCTCCTGCCCCGTCTGCTACAAGACCTTCAACAGATACAACAACATGCAGGTGAGGTGATCCATCTTCGAATTGCATTGTGCATGCATCGGATTTCAATTTTTGGTTCTGATCCTGTCTGGTCTTGATTGGGGGATTTTAGTTGATTTTGTTTTGGATGTTTGTGTTGTGAACTTCTTTTTATCCTTCATGTGCGTGAATTGGAGCAGTGCATGCATCTCTGGCTTCCTTTGTCCTGTGCAAGGTGCAGCGGCGGTGGATCTAGGAGCAAGTGCCGCTGCTTCTTGTACCACCTCTCTCTCTCTCTCGCTCTCTCTCTCGCTCGCTGACGTATCTTGTTGATTTGACTGAACTGTGAGGGAAGTAGAGAGAGGTCATGCACTCTGTCTGCCGTATCTCGTTGATTTGACTGAACCGGGGGGGTAGTGGGAAGAGGGAAGAGAGAGGGCATGCAGTAATGGCTCTGGGACGGCCATTGACATGGAGAACTATGAGCTCCTATGCTGGCTACTGGGCAGTATTAGACTGACCGATCTTGGAGTTTGCGCTTGTTTTGCCTTTTCAATTGGCAGCGGGCTGGACGCGCAGCGCAGGGAGAGAAAAGGAGAGAGATCTGGGAAGAAAGATCTAGCAGAAAGGCATCTTTATCTTTCCCTGATCAGTTCCTTCAAGGTTACACAGATCGGTGTGCGCGTCTCAAGCCAACGCCGGCCACAGACTCCTCCTCTCTCTCCTTCTCTGCAACAAACCCCACCACGAGCAGTGCCCTTCAGTCTCGCACAGTCCATTGCTCAACATCCCTTTTGCTCTCTCTCCCCCTAATTGATGCATCTATGCAACTAGATACTGGTAGCTAGAGAGAGAGAGATGGTCCCTCTGCAACTTAAATTATCCTCCCATCCCCCGTTGCCTCAAGCACGTGAAGACGGAGAGCCATCACTTCGTCTTGCACCTTCGTAGCTCTCTCCCTCCTGACTAGCCACAGTGCATGCAGCGGCAATGCCGCTCGGTAGCTCCGATCGAGCCGCTGTACACACGCAACGAACACTCTGCGGTCGGCACCAGCAAGCACCACTCCGTGTCCAATTTGTCCATGCATGCATGTGTAAGCCATTACAACTCTGTCTGTCTGTCTCATGTCTGATCCATCAGTTGCCATGGACGCTTGCGCTTGCAGATGCACATGTGGGGGCACGGGTCGCAGTACCGGAAGGGCCCGGAGTCGCTCCGGGGGACGCAGCCGACGGCGATGCTCCGCCTGCCGTGCTACTGCTGCGCGGCGGGCTGCCGGAACAACGTCGACCACCCGCGCGCCCGCCCGCTCAAGGACTTCCGCACCCTGCAGACGCACTACAAGCGCAAGCACGGGATCAAGCCCTTCATGTGCCGCAAGTGCGGCAAGGCCTTCGCCGTGCGCGGCGACTGGCGCACCCACGAGAAGAACTGCGGCAAGCTCTGGTACTGCGCCTGCGGCTCCGACTTCAAGCACAAGCGCTCCCTCAAGGACCACATCCGCGCCTTCGGCCGCGGCCACGCGCCCTGCGGCATCGACTGCTTCGACCTTGACGACGACGACCGCGACCCTTCCTCCGAGGTTGACCACACCGTCAACACCGCTGCCGCGGCCACCACCACCAACAGCGCCGGCAGCGACCGTCGCCATTGGAAGGCCAATTAACCGATCGAGCCGGTCCATCTCTAGGGCTACGGCCTACTGGGTAAGTATATATGCATGTGAGCTGAGGTGTGGGAGCGCAAGCTATTACTGGCAGTACGTACTATCTGTATACATGAAGCTTGCAGGCAGGCGTATATAGTTGATAGTGCGAACAGTGAAGGGTGCGTTTTAATTGTGAAAGAAAGATGGATTATACATTTGCAGCTGGATTAATCAAGGGATCGATCGGTGCATGTATGGTTATGACTTATGAGAGAGGTGAGTGAATTTCTAATTGTTCGGGTATAGCCTACCCTAGCTAGCTTCATTGTATGTGTAGACTTTGATTTGGTATATGGTGATACAGATTATCAAATATTAATTCAAAATTTCAAAGAAGATATCATGCATGCATGCAATGGCCACGGGCCTACTGGCTTATTACTACTACTCCCTCCGTCCCAAAATAAGTGTCGCTGATTTATCACAAATTTGGTACAAAATTGTTCTAAATTAGCGACACTTATTTTGGGATGAAGGAGTACTAATTAAGTCTTGACATCTTTTGTGTTCATCTGATGTTTATAACTAATTTTCTTGTTTTTAGCACAAGTTGTGGTATATTGGAGTCTTGCATGTTTGTGATCATGCTTTAATTTGAGATGATTGGAAGTTGAAAATCTAGTTATCTGTAAGTTTTATTTCCTTAGATCCAAGAAGTGATTTACTATCGTTCTGTAATTGAAGCATACAAAAGCTAATTAAGTTATCTATAAACTGATAAGCATACTTTGTGTTTCCCATTTCTAGTTTAAGGCCCATGTTATCTATTAAAGTGGGATATTTCCAGCTTCTTGATATTTCTAATTTCCATGCGGACCATCTTTTTGGACGAAATTATGCATGTTAAATTCTTTATTGTTGAAATTTCCTCAATAGAAAAATGGCTTCAAAGCTAGTATTCGCCGCGTCGATGCATGTACCAAGATCTATATTTCACTTCAAGTTTATTCAACAATATAAAATTTGGCACAACTCTCATATTGCTGGAGATATCGATGTTGTATCAAAGATATATCTTGAAAAGCATGCATGCATGGTCATCCCCGGTTATCATGCATTCACTTGATGTTGTCTTGTGTAGATAAAAGTAGTCAAGAAAAGGAAGAATCAAAGATATCTAAGAAAATCTTTATGTAGTAATATAAGCAATGGACATAATTCTTTCTTCTTCTTCTTCCAAAGGACTTGGCATAATCTAGCACGCGCGAGAAAAAAAACTGTGCTTTCTTCTGAAAACTAACAATCAAAATGAAACAATTGTTGTAGGTAGTACAATTCTTTTCGCAAAAAAAAGGAGCATGTACTACAATTCTGTTTGAGAACTTGAGATCCGTTGTTTTTGGCATATTTGGCCTCTAGCTAGGACTACTGCTTGTCTACATCCTCCTAAGAATAATTTATAGAAGTTCGCCTAGTAAAATGTATATAGTTCTGCAGTGGATGTCTTGTATGTTCCTAGAATGACATTTGTAGAAAAGGTATTTTTGCACTCTGAAGGGGAAAAAATCCTTCCTTTTGGATCATAGGATCGTACCAAAGGAATTTCAGTAGATATGAATTTTTCATACATGTTTTGGAGGAAACCAACATTAGGTCCAACCTCATGGGAAAAAGTCTTTGAAAGTTCCAATACATCCTGCGTCTTCTCTCTCCCTTCTCTAAGGGAAAGTAGTGGTTACACCCAAGTTCGGTGCACCCACACAATAAACACTAAAATAAAACAAATGCAAAAAAAATTAAAAAATATATCTGAAACACATAATCTCAGAATTCCTGTGTTTTATAGAGCACTGAAATGCTTCTTCACAAGAATTCATGCATTTTTATTACATGTAGAATTCAACATACCATACAACTGCAATCATGCATTTTCTCTATTATACCTATGTTTTTGGTATCCTGTGTGAGCTTTTGAACTTTTCCTATATTATTGCAAGACTGATGTAACTATCATGCAGTCTTATATTTTTCTACAAAAAGTGCCTATGCATTGTGAAAATGCAGACATATTTCCTCTCTGGATTACAAGAATTTGAAAACTAGTAATATGAAAAACATAGGATTGAGATGTCACATACCATGAAATCGTACATAATTTGAGAATACAGAAATTCTGCACTATCTTTGGTTGGTGCACAAAAAACTGACGCAGGACTTTTAGAGAGTTGATGAGAGAGGGCAGGGAGAGATAGTTGGAGGGGTGCTCTTTGTAGGTATTTTGGAGGATTTGAATCCTATGGGTTTTACCTATGAAAGCCCTTTGGATCATGGGATTCGGGTTACCAACTCCCATAGAATCCTTTCCTATGCACCATATTCCATACGAATCTCAACATTAGCTGAATCTTCATTTTAATTTTTCTTCAGCAGTCCAATGCACTTAAAATATATCTTTATATACCCTCTCTATCAATCCCCTAGAGTTGTCGTGTTTGCTTCATGTGCACTATCCAAAATTAGATATTACAGAATTTCTGTGTTTCTAAATCCAGTAGGATTCCATGGTATACGTGACATCTCAATTAATCCTACGTTTCTCCTATTCCTACAATTTTCTTCCTGCTATGCAAAGAGGCCCTAAAGTGCATTGGACTTTTCAACGAAAAATTAAAATGAGGTTTGAGCTCATGTTGAGATTCCTATGGAATGGGGGTCATAGGAACAAATTTCATGGGAATTTGGTATCGAAATAGCTTCCATAGGATTGCTATCATCCAAAAATTATTTAATCCAAAGTGGCCTTAAAGGAGAAAACAAAAGGGAATAGCTAGCTAGATACAAGCTGTGTATATGCTCCATCTCTTCCGTGCATGCATGCAGCATCCTGGTGGATCCCAATCCATGAGAATCTCATAGCTAGTTTTGCTTTAATGCTCTCTCATCTTTTGCATAAAGACAATGCTACGCTTTATCTCTTTGAGCACCCTCCCCTAAGCCCCGAGAGAGAACCCTTTCAAGGATGTGTGTGAAGCTCATGATGCTAGCTTTGCCCCGATGGCAAATGCAGTGTGCTTTCAGCTAGTTAAGAATCACGAGACATGGAACTGTATACCTATCCATGTCCATGTCCAATTTGCATGGATTAACATGAGAAAGTTAGAGAGAACAAGCAAAGATAGCATGATTGCACAAACCTAACTAATGGCCTATATCTGGTGAACTATGCCTTTGCCCTAGTACAGTTTCTTTAATCTTGGTCCGCCGCTGATTACAGATGCAATGATCAAAGTAACAAAAGAGGTGCTTAAAGTTTGCTCTTTTCCTCTTGCCTGTTACCAATAAGCTTTAGCTCTTTTTTTAGCCTTTAGTTTGGCTACCTTTTCCAGATTTATACATCAGCTAATTTTCAAGATAAAAAAAATTCGGGTAGACAGTGAAACTATCCACTATCGCTTCAGTCAATTAATATTGATCAAATCATTAATCTTAATATTTTTTTGGTGGTGATGCTAGTAATAGTCTATTAGCTAGTAGCATTAGTCCAAGCTGTAATATTGGTCTATTTGGTAATGATGATTTTTCAGTAGAATATATGCTGTTCAAATGATGGTTTCATGGAAACGATTCGTACTAGATTAACTGTATATTCACATAGTGGAGACCTGTTTACTTGTCAGCCATATGACGCAGCTAATGCCAACATACAGTTTTTAAGTGTCATACATGAGATGGTCCATGATAACCCTTTGTTTGTTAGCTCTGAGCAGTTTCTTTCTTATAGTCGACTGCCTGCTGCAAGCCTGCATATCCTGTACTGCTCTAGATCAATGTTGTACGTAGCTCATTTTTTTCTGAAGAAAATAAAGCCTCCCAGGCCCAATTTACATGTGCATATTATTGACGTACTACGGTCCCAGAGGAAAATTAAGCTAGCATACTAGGTATAGAACCTGGCAGAACAACGGAGAACTATATATATGATGGCAAAGAAAAAGCTAATTGAGTTCGGATCTCAACTATAAATGTATGTATTGGCTAATTTTTTTTTTAGAAAAGGAGGATGACCCCCGGCCTCTGCATCTGGGCGATGCATACGGCTACTTTATTAATTATTCTCACAAGACCTTACAAAGTCATACAACAGTAAGACTAAAGCCGCCGTCTAAGCAACAAACTGTCGCTACACCTATCCAGTTGATGAAGAGGCGCAGATAGCCTGGGCCTAATACCAAACAGACATAGTAGCCAAGCTTAACATCTAAGACCTGAGACCCCAACCTAGCCACTTGCCGGGTCTGGGGCACACACTGGTCCGGCGTGCTCTCAGAGGCCGCCGCCGCCAACTGCCACCGCTCCATCTTCAGAACTGTACTGATGCATAAACCTTGCTCGGTCCAGCTATCGTCGATGCCACCACGGCGTCCAACGGCACCTCCTCCCTGCGCGCAAACAGCTGAACACGTCGCGGTCGCCACTGGCACATCCTCCATGTTTTGGCTAATTATTCTCATACTTTCTTGAAAACTAAATGATACCCCACATATTGCTGGTCAATAAAATCTGGTTGTATGGAACAGAACTGAAACTAAAGTTATATATTATTTTATTATTTAATCATTATATTTTTTAGAAATTAATTTCTGAATATATAATACTATAACTAGTATAAAAAACAAAAGCATTTTCCCATGCAGCTACCGGCCGGTACCTTTTGAGTGGACATATTTGCATGTTGAGAGAAAATATTAGTAGGGATCACGTATTAAGATATACTAGAAGATAACCCGCGCATTTCCGTAAGAATACTGTTATAAATAGGTAGAGTGATGATGTGGTTAAATAGGTTGATGACATGAATATCTATGAGGATTAATTATAGCGAGATATATAGCAGTACAAATTGCATGATTTTGTTGATGTGGAAGGGACACATGCATTGGAAAAATATAGCAAGATGCAAGTTGATGATGTAGCATGCACGCATGGTTTGTTAACATGGAAATGTTACATGTATAGGA